CAAATGTAACCTTATATTTGATATTGAGTTGCAATACCTTAAAAGACTTATATTATAGTATTATCCGATAACTTCTGCTTAAAAATTGAGTTAGAAGTCTGTATATCGAAAACCGCGTCTTACAGTCGTTTGTTTTTTTTGCTAAGTAAAGTTCCCATAAATGCGATTTCTCAAGCTAGTCATTCTATTTGTTTACTTATTTTATAAATATTTATACCTACTAAGTGAAAACCTGTGGGTATAAAGTAAGCTTAATAATTGATACCGCCTGTTTAACATAAATATACAAGACTCGTGTATGTGTAATGATCAGTGTAAAGGTTTTTTATTTACTGTTCAGTTCCTTAAAGGAGTTTCGGTAAGCTTCGGCAACGTAGAGCATAAAGAGAATTCATTTTGCAAAATCTTATTTAATAGTGAATTATATGACACTTAGACTCAATCTCAGTTTTACCAAATAAAAAAAAAAAAAAATAATAATAATAATAATAATAATAATAAAATGAATACTAAAAAATTTTAAAACAACTCCTACCCTTTATTCGGCTCTTACTATTCAAGGCGAAGGCACCCCCTTTCTTTTTCTATGTACAGCTTTCTTTAAGCATTTGCTCTTCAGAAAGCCTTGTATGTATATACACTAAAAAGGTACCTCAAAGATCAAGTATCATGCACGACAATAATTATATCACTAAAATTAATTTGAAACTACATGTCAAGCAGTTTCCTCTACTACATAAAACCAACTTTGTCTTTACTAAAATTTGAAAGGCACTTTAGCAAAATCATCTTTATCTATGTAAGCGTTTAGGAACGAAGGCAACGTCAATTAATCAAACCGAAAATACTTACCTTCCTTTACATGATACTTATAGTCGTCATAAAACAATCAAATTAGCGAAACAGGACGCCTCTTTTCTTCTGCTTTGGGATCAAATTGCAATTCCTTGCCATAATTTGGGAAAGTGTTATAACCATAGTTATTATTAGCATAGAACAAAGAACGAACGTAAGGAGTAAGCTCAAGACCCTTTTTTAATCTATCAATTAAATCTGGATTTGAAGTAAAATATCTCGAAAATCCAATCATAGTACGGTCGTCACCATTAACGTCAGCCTTCAAACCCTTAAACTCTGGGCTGTCATAGGTATAATTACCAGTTTGCAAAATAGCCCCCTTCCATAATTTCTTGATAAAGTCATTGGAACCAACATTATCAGACCAGTTTGCATCTAAAAGTGCTTGGACCCTAGGCTCCACAATGGAAAGATAAGCAAGCTGCTTACCGTCGTTTGCGCGTTTTTGGAGCTCATTAACCACATAACTAAAGGTTGTAATAGGATGCACAGTATCTTCTTCAGCTTTCATTCCTTGGAATTTGATCCAAGGAGACAATCTGATTGCAAGCTTTTCAGCGCCAATTGTATCACTCAAGAGGTCAATAAT